CACTGAGACGAGGGTGAGTGTTAAATGGCCAAGATGGAAAAAAAAAATAAGGTTGAAGACAGTTCTATAAAGCCACAAAGAAATGTAGGGGAAATAGAGATGAAATTAAAAGAGATATTGGTATTTGAAAATATCAATAATGTGGGGGTTGTTTCATTCTGCTGAGAAACTAGGGTTCCTCAGATCTTGCAGGAGTTTGGTCAGCCTTAATGCATATCAGAATTTATCACAGGTATAACCTTTTCTGTCTATCGCTGACCCCTCCCTGTTGCACTCTGAGGTCTTAGTCTCTTGTTATTTTCCTTGTGGACTTGTGATAAGCCAGATAGATTTCTAGAAGCAGCCTTTCTCAAAATAAATAAGTAAGCATTTCTTTGGAAAATAGAGTACTTAGATTTCAAAAATTGTAGAATAAAAGGAAGTGGGTAAAAAAGTAATACTAGTGGTGAAAATGATCAAAGCATATTATGTGCATGTGTATAAGTACCACCATATACCCTATTATACAACTAAAAATAAAAATTATTATTTCATCTGATCATATAAAATACTATGTGTTGAAATGGACTGAAGGAAATCAAAACAAATGTTTTTATTTCTTTGTTGCTGTTTTTCTTTTACTTTTGTCTTGTTTGCTCATTTACTTGTCTTTGGGAGGGGAAAGGGAAACAGAAATGGAGGGACAAAGGGTGAACAAATGCAGCAGTGGTACTCACTAGACACTAAACAGAAATGGAGGGACAAAGGGTGAACAAATGCAGCAGTGGTACTCACTAGACACTATGTTGAAAATGAACTATACAACTTGTGGGTGGGGACGGTAGGGAAAAACTGGGCGAGAGCAAGGGAAGGGGTGACTTTATACAAAAAGAAACGTACTCATTACCTGACTTATGTAACTCCAACCCCTCTGTACATCAGCTTTATAATAACAATAAAAATTAAAATTAAAATATTAGCATATATGATAATAATTTTATATGTATAATCCTGATCAGTATTGTCTTTCTCAAGGGTTATCTATCTCTCGCTACTTCTACCCTAATCTGAATAAATATTGTAAACTTTGTTGTGAATGTCTCTAATATATATTATTATGGAGTGACATAACCAAAATACAAATAAAGGAAAAGAGTTTTAAAAATAAGTTTCATAGTATAGTATTTAAGGTATGAACATGATGATGTGAAGCTATTGATAGTCAAACATATTTAAGGTATGAACATGATGGTGTGAAGATACTGATAGTCAAACAGCCAATAGAGTAAGCACAGTAGTTGCATCTTTCCAATTTGTCAAATGAAGCAGGCATGAGTGAAGCTCTGTATACTAATTAGGGAGTGACATTGTTCCTGAATATCTAGCATGCACAGTACCTCCCAGAAATATAGGAAGTTAGCTGACTTCTTGTCTCCAAAGTGTCTCATCACAGCTGACAAACACCTTCAAGTTAACTTCCTTCTCGCAGATATCCCTGCATAGGCTTTAGAGTCACTAAGCTGTAGTGTGTGTACACACCCACACTCACACACCATATTTTTAATTGATGACCAGTCTAGGATATCTTCGAAGACAGTACTTGAGAAAAGGTGAAATCCCAGTGTTCTCACCTTCAGATTATAGATTCAATAAAAACCAATATGTCTTTCAACTTAAGGGTTACTAAATGGAATTTCTTCCTTCTTTTAGAAGTGTATATGTAGATGGTTAGATTCAGAGATGTCAGAATCTTAGGAATATTATTCATTGTATGTTTTATGTGCCTTTTCTAAATTAACCATGCATCCTGGAAAGTATGATCATCTGAATTTTATGTTAGAAAACTGAATGGAGAGGAATATCAAAATTATTCAAGGTAATATAGTTGGGGAGTAATTGAAATACAGCCATGTTATGAACTCAGACAGCCTAAATCTAGGTCATGATCTCTCATTTTTCAGACCATAACCCGGAAGGAGAACTTCAGCAGGGTGCTAATACTGGGTGGCTAGTTGTATAAAAAAATGTTTGAAGCATTTGAGGAAAACTTGGATTTGGAGACTAAATATCATTTCCTCTACAAGGCCTTCTGTGAGTAGATACTGGCTCATGTGTCTTTTCATAGAATTCACCCATACAGCAGTTTCACCTATATTGGAGTTCCTTTGATTAATTATGTTCTCTTTTTAGTTCATAAGCTTAATATGTCATCAAACGTGTTCTTCTCTTCTATAACTGCTAAATAGTAGACTGTCAGTAAAAATATTTTTGACAAAAATGAAATAAAAGAGCAGCCTGAGAAAGAATATATAATAATAAATGTTTGTAAAATTAGACATAAGACATTGAAGACAAATAATAATGTTTATAGACCTTATATAGTGATATATAATATATAATAGTGATTATAGATATTATCTACATGAAAAGGTAAACATTCCCAAACATAGCACATCTGAAGTTAATAGTGGTTGCTTCTAGAAAACAAGTTGCCACTTACTACAGAGAATTATCCTGAGATTGTTTTCAGATTAAGACATTTGGGTGTTAGGAATCATATACTTATTGAACCATAAATACTTTGTAACTTACATTCCCAACTTGACGACAAGATTATTCATGTTGATTTCATTTGTTTGTATTACTAAGATAAAACAACAAATATTTATACATTTCCAATATTGGCATTCATATGTTTATAATTATTTATTTTTCATTGTAACTGAACCTTTGAATTTTTAAGACTATGCACTACTTCAGCAAACTCTGCATTAAAACAATTATTATGATTTTAAAATACAAATGAAAGCTTGGAATAACATTATTACCTATATAATCGACAGTGGCAGAACAAAGTTGAGTTAGCAAATGAAAAAATACATGTGGCACTTACAAATTAGGAAGATCCATAGTGCTTTTCTAAAATGCAGTCTTAGATAAGCAAGACTAAAGGAAAATAGCATTCTTTGATATTATCGTAGAGGTATTTGATCCTGTATGTAGTTCCACATTCTAAAATTCTTTGCAGGGAAGAATGACTGGATGAACTTGATGTGGATTATTCTAAATAATGAGAATTTTTGACTCTTAAAGCTGGACTGAGACAAGGTAAGAATCATTGTTCGGGTTATACATACTGGGGTCTCCCCATGTAAGGAAACCACAGGTATTCTGAGGAATCTCTGATTTAATGCATCCCTGAAAGGCTCCCAGTCACTGCCCATGACATATTTTTGGTTATTTATTTATTTTTGCCAGTTGTGTGGCCAGAACTCTGGGCCTGGGTGCTGTCCCTCAGCTCTTCAGCTCAAGGCTAACACTCTACACCTTTAGCCACAGCACCACTACCAGCTTTTTCTGCTTATGTGGTACTGAGGAATCAAACCCAGGGTCTCATGCATACAAGGCAAGCACTGTACCACTGAGCCACCTTCCCAGCCCCATGTCTTTTTATAATATATATATTTTTATGGTAAAGATACTGTACAGAAGGGTTACAGTTACATGAGTAGGATAATGGGTACATTTCGTATTGAGCATTGTTACCCCCCCCCCTTTTTTTGTCTTTTTGGCAATTTCCTGGAGCACATACTTTCCTGGCTCTGGACTGACTGTTCTAAAGTATCAAACTCTAAAGCCAGAAAAGTAGAATAAGGCAGAGATGTTTTATGATCAAACTAAGGAAGAAATGCATTGTGTAGGCTCCTCCTCCTCCTCCTCCTCCTCCTCTTCCTCCTCCTCCTCCTTCTTCTATTTTCTGAACTTCAAGAGCTTACACAAGGGGATTACAATATCCATCTCAGTGTTTAGACCTTCTTGATCAGAGTCACTCCTTCCATCATTCTGCCTATCCCATCTGTTTCCTCCCCCAGACTCATTAGCCATTTCCCACTTCCTTTATCACATAGTATTTTGGCTATTTATCCCCTGTTCTCATTTTCATTCATCTACTTCCTTCCCAAGATCCCCCCTTTCAATCTAGTTTCTAAGGTGTATATGATTAATTTATTAATATTAAGCATGCTATTCCACATGACCTCTTGGAGTATTTAATACAATGAAAAGAACATGCCCTCACAAGGTAAGATATCACCTAATTTATAAGAAAATCTCCCAAGAGAAAATTTCCTTTTGTTTTTGGTGTTGTTACTTGGGCTTGAATTTAATGTTGCATTTTTTTTTCCTTTCTGCCCATCCTGGGGCTTTGACGAAGGATCAGGAAAATGTGGTATATATACACAATGGAATTCTATGCTTCTGTCAGAAAGAATGATATGGCTCCATTCGTAAGGCAACAGATTTAATTTAGATCATTTGTTGAAAATGTAATATGGAAACCATTTGCAAAAGGATTGGGCATGTGTAGAGAAGTCACAAGTGCTTGTGAAGTTCCCTAGGTGAAGCAGTCACTTCTGAAATGCTTGGACTAAAGGGACAGGGGAAGATAAAATCAGGACAAGAAAATAGAGCCAGAAAACCTATTCAGAAAGGGATGCAAGGCTTCCAACAACTTTGTTCAAAAGGAACTGGAGGGATAAACATCGGGCTTCACCCTTCTGTCCACCCCCTTTTAACTTCGTTGGTATTTCTTATTGTCATTGGCAGTGATGGGGTGAGGGAGTTTGTGGATGTGGGATCTATAGAGGTCAGTGTTGTGGAATCCAACACATGATACAAAGTGGTATAGACTACAGGACTTAAATTTAAACTATTCTATAAAGCATATGCTAAAAAAAAAATCAGACTGCTGTATTACAGTTGATGATATACAGTTAGACTCTTTGGGAAGCAATGAAAAATCTCCACCAGAAGACATATGCAGATAAATACTGTTAGTTACACAACATTTTAATAACCTAAACAAGAAGTGAGGAAGACATGGATTTGAGTAGAATTGACGGGTGTAGAGGATAGACAAGACATTGAACAGATATTAAGGGGAAAGGAATGGCTTTTTGAGTGACACGATTTCATTTTCTGTCCACTTTCAGTAAGACAGAGACCTCTCTTCCACATTCAGCATGCTCTCTGCCTCTGTCCCCAACCACACAGCCTTCCATCCCTCCACGTTCATTTTACTTGGAATCCCTGGCATGCAAGACCAGCACGTGTGGATCGCCATCCCCTTCTGCTCCATGTACCTCCTTGCTCTGGTTGGTAATGGCACCATCCTGTACATCATCGTAACAGACCGATCTCTGCATGAGCCTATGTACCTCTTCCTGTGCCTGCTCTCCATTACTGACCTGGTACTCTGTTCCACAACGCTGCCCAAAATGCTAACAATATTCTGGCTTAAGTCTCATGTCATTTCTTACCATGGCTGCCTCACCCAGATGTTTTTTGTTCATGCAGTCTTTGCCACCGAGTCAGCTGTGCTGCTGGCCATGGCTTTCGACCGCTACGTGGCTATCTGCCGTCCACTTCATTACACATCCATCCTCAATGCCACCATGATTGGGAAGATTGGCCTGGCATGTGTGATTCGTGGCCTTGTCTTTGTTTTTCCCTTTGTCATTCTCATCGAACGGCTACCTTTCTGTGGGCATCAAGTCATCCCCCATACCTACTGTGAGCACATGGGCATAGCTAAACTGGCCTGTGCTAACATCAAGCCAAACACCATTTACGGTCTTACTGTCGCGCTTTCTGTCACCGGCATGGATGTGGTTCTCATCGCTACCTCCTATATCCTGATCTTGCAGGCTGTGTTGCGATTGCCCTCCAAGGACGCCCAGTTCCGAGCATTTAGCACATGTGGAGCCCACATTTGTGTGATTCTTGTCTTCTATATCCCTGCCTTTTTTTCCTTTTTCACCCACCGTTTTGGCCACCACGTACCTCCTCAGGTCCACATTATACTTGCGAATCTTTATCTGCTTGTACCTCCTGTGCTCAACCCCATGGTCTATGGTATCAATACCAAACAGATCCGCCTAAGAATATTGGACTTCCTTACAAGGAGGAGATAACCATACTCCACACATACTCAAAGAACAAGAGGGAAAAGTTACAATTTACATTTTACCTTCTTCTGTATCTCTTGTCCTTGTACTGGAGCTAATCCCAAAAAGCCAGGATCGTGTATTATCTGAGATTTTTAAGTATTTAGAGCAATGCACTCAAACATGTTATGTCTACGGAATTCCACTTTCCTGTCATATTACCATATAGCCCGTTAAGGGACCTGCAAAGTCTTGAAAGGACAAAGTCCAGTGGCAATGTGAGAACCACGGAGATTTATTCTTTCCATGTACAGAAATCTCATGTGGTCAAAGTAGGAGATATGTCTGAAGAAAACAACTCTTAACTTCTCACCTTAAGGAATTGAGAATAAACACATTCATTCATTCATCTGCTCACTCATTCATATCAGCATTTTCTTAGACCAAGAGTGTCTTCACTGACTGTCAGCCACAGCTCAGTGAGATGCAGGCCTCTGGGACGTAGGATTAGGTTTGAAATAGATGAGGCTGACCGCTAGGTGGTCTATTCGGAGATATCTGCAAGGACAATTGCATGGGAAAATCACAGAACAAGTTTCTCATGCAGTTACTTCAAAAGTCATTGTTTGTGGCTTCTGACTTCCAAACAAAGCTTGTTCTTGGTCCTCACTGAAGAAGATTTCTTTGGTATTGTAATAATCAGCTAGGCTCCAAGAAATTTATTCTTGTACATATTTTTAGTAATAATGTCACTATCCCTTTTCAAGTGAAAACTATTACATTCACAGCCATTGAAAGCTTAAACTGGGAGTTCTTATGGAGTTGTAATGTATCCAAGTCCTTCCTTGTAAGGCTATTTGGTAGACAAACAGGTAGTAAGGAAAGAAAAAGTGAACTTGGCCTCTTGGTGATAATCTAAAAATCTCTGGTTAGTTTACTATGTCAATCACCATTTAAATAGAGAAAAACAGAAGGCAGGGATAGTGATACATGTCTGTAAACTCAGCATTAGAAGCCTAAGGCAAGAGGAGCCTATTCTACCTAAGGAGATTGGGTCTAAATAAAGTCAGTCAGGTGCTGGTGGCTCACACCTGTGCTCCTAAGTACTCAAAATGCTGAGTTCTGGAGAATCTTGGTTTGAAACCAGCTGATCAAACAAGCAAGCCCAGGGACCACACACACAACAAGATGTATTGGGACTATTGCTCAAGTATTAGAGGGTATAGCAAACACAAAGCTCTGCATCCAAACTTTCTAGTACCACTTAGAAAAATATCTCTATATATATCTATCTCTATATAGACACATATGTACCTAGATAAATGTGGCTCTATCTATCTATTGATAACTAGATATATAATACCCTTGATATTTCTAGCTCTATCTTTAAAGATCCATACGTTCTAATCATGAAATCATTTTCTTTATTATTAATTGACCAAAATTATTTTAATATACATTTATACAAGTAGAAATATGTATTTAGAAAAACAGACATATAAAACCATACAAATATATGATAAAATTATAAATTTAGATCTATCAACTTTAGCTTAGACTATCAATATATTAAATAAAACAATGTCTATATTGTTTGAATTTATAATCTTAAGAAGTTATAACTGACATAATAACCAAAATGTGTAATATTCTTTATAGAAGTAATATATAATCAGATCTATGTATGTGAACAGAGATATGTTTCAGAGATGTAATGCTGAACAAAACTCAAAATGCAGAAGAATGACATGACTTATCATTTATATAAAGCATAGAAATGTGCTCTACATTATTTTAGAATATATGAATATAAGTATACAAACATTATAAATATATAACATACATATAATATAAATGCAATATAAAATATACATATATATGAAGTAAAAGTATAAAAACATAAAACATTTGATACATTGATATCTAAAAGGAAAATGAAAAGGGAAAAAAATGGCCACATATATGAGTCACTGAGGAGGAGTTTACGTTTGGCTTAGTATTTTATTTTTGTTAGTTTTTTTAGTAATTTATTAACACATAGTAACTGATTACACATATTTTGTGTTTTAGTAATTGTGCACATTAATGAGTTTCACTGTAACATTTTCACATGTACATACATCATGGTTTGATCAAATCCATCCCTTCCCCTGTCCTCTATTACTCCCTTACTATTCTTCCTCTCCTAGTCTACTTATTCTTCCTTAGTAATCCCTCTACTCAGCCTAGCTAGCCATCAGGGGATGAATGGATGAAGAAAATGTGGTATGCAGACACATGATGTAGTATTCAGCCACAGGGAAGAACAAGATCATGGTGTTCACAAGCAAAAGGATGGAACTGGAGAGCATCAGTTAAGACAAATAAGCCAGAGCAAGGAAAGAAATATCACATACTCAGGATCAAGATGTTAAAAATACACGAGATTAAGAGGGTAGTACTATTTGGAAAAAGAAAAAGAACAGTTCTTGGGAAGGCTAGGGAAGATAATGGAGGGTATTATAATCAAAGTATGTTATACACACGTATGAAAAAATGTGCAATGAGACCCATTTGTTTATTTAAATACTTTTTTTGTTGGCACTGGGATTTAAATTCATGGTTTCAGTCTTAGTAGGAAAGTACTCTACCACCTGAATAATAATCCTAGCTTTTTTTTTTGCTTTAGCTATTCTGAGTTAATACTCAACTGTGTAAATATTTCATAATTTCTGAATCTGTTAATTGTTCAGTGGGCATCTAGGCTGATTCCATAACTTGACTATAATGAATAGTGCCATAGTGATCAAAGATGTTCAACGTTTCTATTATATGCTGACAGATTCCTTTGATAAATTGTACAGGAGTGAGACCTGTTATTTCAGTGATTTTGTGTTTGCTTTGTTTTTCCTATGTGTGAATTTTACAGTATTTCTAGCAAGTTACCTTAAAAAAATTTTTTTTTTTGCCAGTCTTAGTGCTTGAACTCAGGGCTTGGACACTGTACCTGAGCTTCTTTTGCTCCCTGAGCTTCTTTCGCTCAAGGCTAACACTATACTACTTGAGCCACAGCACCACTTCCAGCTTTTTCTGTGTATGTGGTACTGAGGAATAAAACCCAGTGCTTCATGCATGCTAGGTAAACACCTTACCACTGAATCACATTCCCAGTCCACCTTTTTAATTTTTAAAAAATTCTATTAAGTAGTTGTACAAAGAAGCTACAATTCCATAAGTCAGGTTGTAAATACAATGCATTTTGATCAATGTCACCTTCCCATCATTCTCCTTCATTCTCTTTTCCACCCTTACCCTCACGTTACGTTGTTCAATTTTTATATACTGTACATTAAATATAATGACTGCATTTGTTCACTCTTTCTCCCACCATTTATGCCTCTCCTCCTTTGTCTTCCCTCCCAAAACATATTTTTTGCTTCCTGGTAGCAAGCAAGCTTCCCCACTCCTCCTCTGGTCCTGGAGCTTGAACTCAGGGCCTTGGCCACTGTCCCTAAGCCTCTTTGTACTCAAGACTAACATTCTACCACTTGAGTCACAGTGCCACTTCTGGCTTTATCTGAGTAGTTTATTGGAGATAAGAGTCTCACAGACTTTTCTACCTGGGCTACTTTGAACCACAATCCTCAGATCTCAGGCTTCTGAGTAGCTAGAATTACAGGTGTGAGCCACCAGCACCTAGCAGCAAGGTACTTAAAAAAAACTTTAGTAAATTGCTTCTTTTGCATTAATAAAAATACACATGGCCATACCAGACCTAGCAGGAAGGACGCTGAGGCCAAAGAGGCTGTGTGGGCAAAGGTAATGTGGATTGCAGACGATGTGCAGATGGATGTCTAGGGTGAAACCCTTGGTCTGGGACAAACATTATAGAGTGAAAGCCAGGAAGGATTGGGACTGACTGATGGGGGTGTGGGGGAGGGCTGCTATCAGGAATTTTGCTAGGGTATTCATCAACAGGTGTTGCCCTTCTAATGGCTTAATGGACATGATTATTTCAGCCAGCATAAAGTCTCTTCTAGTTCTCACTGGCTCATGCCACAGTTAGTTCCAGATTATGTTTAAAAAACTGTTACTGTGTACATTTAAGGAGCATAACATGCTTTTATAACATACCTATTAGATTAAAATGGTTAGCATAGTAAAAAATGTTCATTATCTTATATTCATTTTTTTCTCCACTGTATCAAGAGAAGCTACAATTTACTCCTTCAACAAGTCTTGATACAATATGCTGTTACCATGTAGAGTGTTTACGTGTACATTACATCTTTGGACTTGTTAACCTTACAAATTTCCTGTTTTATGGCCTTTGACCTACATTTCCCCATTTTCTCTGTCCAACCTGCCTGCTAGTAAAGACCACTTTATTTTATGTATCTATAACGTGAATTTTCCCCCCAACTCCACACATAAGTAAGGCCATGCAATACTTTTCTTTCTGTGTCTGACTTATTTCACTTCGCATAATGCTCAATAAATGCATCGGCGCTATGACAAATGTCAGAATCTGCTTTCTTGAGGCTGAAAATATGTATACACATATATGTGCAAGTGTGTGTATATACACACCCATCACATTTATCTGTTCATTCATTGATCATCTTTAATTTTGTCTGCTCCTCAGGTTCCTACAAAAAGGGCAAAGACTGAACATTTCCAGAATCTTTAAGATGAATCAGCCCCATGTCCTGAGAGCTCAAGCAACCACAAGGGACTATTTTTTTTTAAGCTTAATAGTAATGGTGCCTTTGTATATGGGAGTGTAGCAACCAGCTAATTCTAAAGCCCCTAGGGATCCTTTATTTACATTACTTAAAAAGCCACATCATGAATTTTAGATGTCCAAAAGTGAGGTGTGAAGAGATGTGGGGCCATGAATACATCCATCCACACGAATGTTTGCTAAAAGACACCTGCATGTATACTCTCACCCAAACACAGCTACAGGTGTCTGCGAACAGCTTCCTATTCTCTTACTGCCTCACAGTCAGGTAAGGGGTTTTAGGTGAAGGTGGGGTTCCTTTTCACATTCCATAGTCATCTAATGCTCCTCATCTACCACCCTATGCCTCACTGTGTTCTTCATCATTATGGCAAAGTTATTAAAAAGCTTTCCGTGCACTCAGGTCCCACAACTGCTAAAACTATTTGTTAAGTTTGGAGGGCAGAAATTATTTTGAGCTTTTAATTTTTTGTTAAAGAAAAACTACTGTTGGTATACCATGTCTGTGGGCTTCAGAGAGAAAATTATTTCTATTTTTTTGTAGTTTTGCCTGTAGTTTTATATACTTTGGTGCAAGGTTTTTAGTGGAAATGTTCATTTCATAATATTTCATAATACATTTTTTTTGGTCAATCATGGGGCGTGAACTATGGGCCTGAGCACTGTCCCTCAGCTCTTCAGCTCAAAGCTCAAGGCTAGCGCTCTACCACTTGAGCTACAGTGTCATTTCCGGTTTTCTGGTGGTTTATTGGAGATAAGAGTTTAACAGACTTTCCTGCCCGGGCTGGCTTTGAATGAGATCCTCAGATCTCAGCCTCCTGAGTAGCTAGGATTACAGGCATGAGACACCGTGGCCCAGTTTCACTCTTATATTTTACTGAATAACAAATTAGGATTTTTTTGTTCATTCTTTGTTTTTATCTATTTGAAGAATTACAATGTTTTAATTTTATTTTATCTCATTGTAAAGATGCTATACAGAGTGGTTACAGTTACATGAGTAAGGTAATGAGTACATTTCTTGTTGAACATTGTTGCCCCCTCCTTTGTTTTTCTCCTACTATCCCTTCCCTCCTCACCTCCCCCACTCACCTCCCAGAAGTTGTAAAGTTCGTTTCTAACATATTGTCTTGTGAGTATCATTGTTGCAATGGGTCATCCTGTGTCCTTGTTTCAGCATTTTGTTATTTCCCCTTCCCCTCCCCAAATTAGATAAATGTATATACAGGATGCAGGGTACCAAAATCAAATACAGTGACAACAGGGGTTATACCATAGGGGAAAGAACACACAAAAGAAACAAAAAAAATCACATAGTATGTTAAAACCAACAAGGTTAAGGAAAAACCTCTGTGTCCATATCTTGGGGTTCATTTTACTTAGCATCATCTGATATGGTCATATGTACACAGCTTTTGAGCTTTTCTGCTCATCTGATAAGATTATTCTAGACATATACTAATTATTGCAAATAAGGGAAACCATGGGATCTATATTTCTTTGGGTCTGGCTTACTTCACTTAATATGTTTTTTTTCCAAGTCTTTCTATTTCCTAACAAAGGGGCAGTGTCATTCTTTCTGATGGAAGCATAGAAATCCATTGTATGTATGTATGTATGTGTGTGTGTGTGTGTGTGTGTGTGTGTGTGTGTGTGTGTATACCAAATTTTATTGATCCATTCATCTACTGAGGGTCATTTGGATTCTTTTGCTTTTGTTTTTATTTTAAAAATTACCCATAAGTAGTTGTATGCAGGGTTTCAATTCAACATGTCCCATAGGGAGTACCATGCATTTTGATCAGTTCACCCCTTTCTTTCATCACTCTCTCCAGTCTCTCCCAACCACACCCAGACCCTCAAATTATCTTGTTCCATGGTTTACATAAATATACAGATATAGGTAGCTAATATATATATATAGATAGATAGATATATAGCTGTAGATATATTAGCATCTTATTAAATGAAAACATGACAAAATATCTTCTCTACAACATTGATGCTATTATTGAACGTTGTTAATCAATGTTAATCAATGTTATATATACCACTGTACAGTGTGATGTGCACTCTCCCACTTGCAGAACCATTTGTGTGCATTTTAATATCCTAGTGTTTGTTTTTCATTTTGAAACTCTTTTTATCTTTTGGCATTAGCACTCAGGTCATTTCATGATGGCTCTCCTCAGGTACATCTCCAGTGTGCCTCCATGAGGATGTGCAATGCCACCGGCCACCCTCCTTTCTTCATTCTCCAAGGCATTCCTGGGATGGAAGACAAACACCGCTGGATGTCTATCCCCTTCTCCTCCATGTATTTTGTCACTGTGCTTGGGAACTGCACCATCCTCTTCACCATCTCCACAGAGCGTTCCCTCCATAAGCCCATGTTCCTGCTTCTCTGCTTCTTGGCCCTCACAGACCTGGGCATGTCTACAACCACCATTCCTAAGGTGCTGTGCATCTTCTGGTTTGGTCAGAGTAAGATCAGCTATGAAGGCTGCCTGGTCCAGCTGTTCTTCATCCACTCCATCTCTGCCTTACAGTCTGCAATCCTAACGACCATGGCTTTTGACCGCTATGTGGCCATCTGCAAGCCCTTGCATTATGCCACCATTCTTTCTAACAGTCGCATTGGGATCATCGGCCTTGTGAGCTTGGTGAGAGCCATTGTGTTTATTATCCCCATGCCCATCTTCCTTCAGCATATGCCCTTCCATGCCAACCGTGTCATCCCTACCACCTACTGTGAGCACATGGCTGTGGTAAAGCTGGTGTGTGTGGACACCACACTCAACCGTATATATGGTCTCGTGATAGCTCTGTTGGTGGTTGGGCTAGATATCTCAGCCATTGCCTCCTCATACGTGCTGATCATCCGGGCTATCATGCGTCTGTCTTCTAAGGAAGCCCACCACAAGGCAGTGAACACCTGCACCACACATATCTGTGTCATGCTCATCTCTTACACACCTTCGCTTTTCTCCTTTCTTACCCATCGCTTTGGCAAAGGCATTCCACCTCATATTCACACGATCCTTGGCAACCTCTATTTCCTTATACCTCCAATGCTCAATCCTATCATTTACGGAGTGAAAACGAAGGAGTTTCGGGACAAAGTGACCAAGTATCTGTGCCTGAGGAAGGAGCCCATCACCACTGCTCACGGTCAGAAAATCGTTTGATAATTCAGCAGTTACAGGTATGAGGAAGGAGTAGTCAGTGAATGACGTTTGAAGGGAATCAGCAAGTGGCAGAAAGAGGCCAAATTGGTAGGTTAGCTACTAAGAAATTTATGAGAGACTTTGGTTTCAGGAACCCAAAAGAAAGGCAATTATCCCTTGTGAATAAAGTAGCATCTGCTTTTCATCATCAACAGTGTAATTGAGTAAATTACATTATGATACAATATGTACAATTTTTAAAAAAAATTGTAAATCAGTTTATTTTCTTGGAAAAATATTTCATCCTCTGACAATTGGGAATTACACTTGCTGAAATGCTTCTTAAAAATCCAGAAGCCTTTTACCTACTTTGATGTCTCTCCCTTTACATGTAAACTTTGTTAAAATTCTATTTTGAATCACAACATAAGCATTTTTTCCTGAAAACACTTGTAAGAAGTATTTCTTCTTGACCAGTGAGACATGCATCTTCCCGCAATCATTACATTCTTTTGTATTGTTCACATGTAGGCACGCGCGCGCGAGTGTGTGTGTGGGGGGGGGATAAGTGCGGTACACCACACCTCAACATTGTTCTTTCTATTGGTGTGTTTAATATCATCAAAGCTTCTAGAAATGCCATGCTAATTCACACTTAAAATGAATTATTTGGCATTTAAAACAAGGCTTATCTTTCTGTTTTTTTTCTTTTCTCAACAATTTACACTTTTCAAACCCTTTGTCTTTGGTTTATTTCTAAATATTTTATTATTATTGTTCAAACTGTTAAGTGATATCTTAAAGTTTGGTCAATTCATTGTTAGAGAAATGCAGCTGATTTGTGTTAATTCTGTTACTGTACAAGTTGCTGAGCATTTGTTGAATCTTTTAAGGTTTTCTACATGTAGCATCTTCCTTTTCAATTTCAGTGTCCTGTTTCTGGCTTGATTGTGTAAAAACACTTTGGACAATAACACCCATTCATGCAGGATAAAGTGGTATGTTTTCATATGGTGAATAACATAAGAGCAAACAATAACTGGCCCACCACCAGTGAGTGCTAGAATACTACTACTTGGTTTACCCAGGCATGCTTAAGTTAAATGTGGGTCTGGGCATGTATCTCTATTTGTGTGTTCAAAGGGGAATGGAGGATGAGAGTCATTTATTTAATTATCTCTAATGAAGAGACTTACATTTGGGCAACAGAACTTGCTGCTTCTTCGTGAGCCTAGAAAAATTAGGTAGAGGAAATACCATCTCCAGCTTCCAGAGAAACATTCAGGAAAAAGGAAGAAAATGAGAGGCTCCTTGGGTTCAAAGGCTGATAGGCATTTTAACTAATCTTCTGTTAGTAAAACCTTCTAGAGTCAGCACTTCTGCTTATTTCCACTAATTCCAGCATCTGTGAAGGTTCTCCTGAGACAAGACAACTTGGAATACTTTTTAAGTGTCATAGTTGTAAAAGTTAATTTCATACCACAAATTACTATGAAATGATGGGTGAGGATTGTTTAATAGAAAACTCAATTTCATTGAATACAGATTTATTTAAGACTTCCTTTGGTATTAATCAAGGATTTACTACTGAAGGTCTCTCTGTAGGTTAAAAAAAATTCCAACTTTTAGAACCTCAAAGAATCTATTTTTAGTAAGAAAAAACAATTACACCTGATTTAGATAAACTTAGAATATGTTCTTTCAAAAAACTTACAAAAGACAACTTCAACAAAGAAAAAGAGCTTCAAGAAAAAGTGTTGATAGTTTTCAATATATTTACTTTTATTTCATTAGTTTATTAAGTTTGTGCCAGTATTGGGGCTCAAATTTAGGTCATTGTGCTCCTACTTTGCTGTTTTGTTACTGGATAATGCTTTTCTACTTGAGTCACACCTCTACCTCCAGCTTTTTTTTGGGGGGGGTCCAGTTGTGGGGACTGAACTCTGGGCCTGGGTGCTGTCCCTCAGCTCTTCAGCTCAAGGCTAGCACTGTACCACTTGAGCCACAGGGCCACTTCCAGCTTTTTTCTTTTTGC